CCTAGTCTTCTAGGAAAGAGTTGAGGATCCCCTCGGTGCCCAAGACACTAATCCCATTCACATGTTGGTGAACAAAAACTTTCCAAGCCGATCCCTAATGACCTGCGCGTGACCCAACATAGAGTTAATCTAAGAAGGTGCCCTAGAAGAAGTCCCCACAGGAGGAATGAATGAATGGAGTGGCCAAAAAATGAGATTGTAGATGATATTCTGGGGCAGAAGGTGCAGCTGTAGGAGCCTCTGACCAAGGAGGCACCTCTGGATTGGTCACTTGATGGGAGGGCACTCGAGGTGCCAGTGGAGGTGTTGACTAAGGAGAGTTCATTTCGGGCAGCATAGTTGGAGAGGCCATCTGGGAGACATCCTCTGTCCTCGCCACCTTAGAAGGAGGATGACTCCTACTAGAAAGGCGGGACCCAATCATCTCCTTATCTACTGCTCCAAAGAAAATAAAGTGTCAACAAGATAAAAATAAAAACACAAAGTAAAGGAGAAAAATATAGAAGAATCAACATACCTTTCCTTTTCAAGGGGGGACCGCTAGACTTGGGAGAGGGACCATTGACATCTACGGAAGAGGAACCAATAACTCCTCCACCCATGGGTATAAGAGCTTCAAAGTTCCTTGTGGAGTAAGACTTCACAACCTATAGCTTCCACTCTTGGTCTTTGGAGAGCACAGAAGTACCTGCAAGGAATATAGTGAGTATAAGCTTACAAAGAATGTGGTAAGAGAGGAGTAAGAATATAGGGCATACCAACTTTCTTTGGAGCATCTCATCGTGTTGGTACCAACGCCTTATTGGCATTCGAAGCCCACTCTTCACCGACAAATATGAAACGAGACTTCTAACCATGACATTTGGAGGGCAGACTAATAATTAACTTGCCTCCCCTTGTGGTAAAATAATACCAGCCTCGGTTAGGAGCAGGAGTCTCACTCGGGTAATAAACTACATGAAATTCCTCAGGAAAGGCATCCTTATGGTGCACCTTCTTCCATAATGCTAAGAAACTCAACAACACTCTCCAACCATTGGGCGCCAACCACACAGGTATCAAGGAAAAATAGTTCAAGATGCCACAAAACGGGAGAAGGCATTGGGAGCCTGAGCCCAGCCTCAAACACCTCCTCATAAAAAACAATGTCATAAGAGGAGTCATCATAAACAGGCTCACCCATCTCAGCTTAACAACATAGTACAGTTGGAGAAATATGATAAGTGGAGACAATCTGTAAAATATCAGCGTCTGAATTTCAAGTGCTAAAGATAGTACTTACTTTGGACACATCATCATCAACAGCTACCTTGCCTCGATGCTTTATTGACACAAGGGTGAAAAGCTCTGTCCGAGCCAGAAAGGTCTCTAGGAGAATGATTTTGAGAAGCTATGCTTGAAAAAACTCGAACAGGTTACTTGACCAGTCTGCTTAGCATAGCAGGTTGCTCGCCCAGATTTGTCTCCCTCACGTTCAGCAGCAAGTAGACAGCCGCCTCAGCACCCAAATTAGACCGAAATCAGTGCTTTGCTCGCCCAACAGGTTGGAGCGCCCAGGCTGCTCGCCCAGAAGGCTGGAGCGCCTAGGCTGCTCACCCAGCAAGCTGGCATGCCTAGTCATCATAAGCACACTATTAGCCCCTCCAAGCTCGCTCGCACATTGAGGGATGCTCTCTCAGCCTCGCCAAAGTCATGCCCGCCTACTTGCTTGCCAAAACCAACAAAACCAGCACCAACAGGGGCACTAGCACCCCCTCTCTTGTGCATTAGGTGCGCGCCTCGCAGCGCCCAACGGCGCCTCCACCTCCTTTAGGCCACGCGCCTCCATCCCTTCTCCATGGACAACTCCACCTTCTTCGAGTGGCACACCAAGAGTTGTAGGCCTCTGAACATCTTTTCCACTAGCCACCATTGTCCAAAACACTTAAACTCAAGAATGTCTAGCCTATGGTCTCAAAAGAATCTCAAGAGAAGCACTCTCCTTCACTCACTGAAGCTTCTATGGAATGGGTAAAGAATAAGCTCTCAAGGATTTTAGGAAATAGTATAATTTCAAGTTGAAGGAAATCGGTAGAATGAAGAAGAAAGCTACTATTTATAACCTAGGGTTTTTTTTTTAAAAAAAAAAAGCAACAAGGCCCAATTCAAAACCAATTTTCGAATTTAAAAAGGGCCATAACTCTAAACGGGGCTTATTATATATGAAAATTGAAGTTCTCGACGAGCTGAGCAAAACTCATTCTGTTGGTAATGAGCTTTTCAAAATAAGTCTAAAAAAGGTCCAGAAAGAAGTGTTTTGGCCTTCTGAAGTTTTAAAAGAAAAAAAAAATGCTACTCGCCCAGAACAGTGTCCTACTCGCCCAAACCACTCGCCTAGCTCTCTGTTTGAAGTTTGACCGTAACGTTTGCTCCGTTACTCCAAATGAGGCTTATAATATATCAAATCAAAGCTTTCGGCGAATCCCACAAGACACACAACCTTTTGGCTGTGATTGATGATGTAAAAAGCCCAAAAAAGGCCTGGAAGTATATGTTTTGGCCTCCCGAAGTTTTTCCAACTTTGCTGTTCGGTCAAAAATTCAAACTCGACTGAATGCCCTCCTTTTTTAAGTTCCTTAAATGCAGGGCATTGGAGGGAAAATGGTGGGCCAAGCCCAAGGGTCCAACTCATGTTATAAGCCTGGTCCGAATTTTAAGGCCCAACTCCAAGAGGTCCACCAAGTTCAGCCCAATGTGATCGGTCTAGTCAAACTCATTAAGCTCAAGGAATTACGTCAACAACGAGCATGCAAAGTCATTTGGGAGTCTCCTCTACCACCTTGGGGTAGAGCATGCAAGGTCATCCAAGAGCCTCCTCTACACTACCAAGAGAGCGTCCAGAAGCCTCACCCTCGCCGCTTGGAGAGCATCATAAACTTTCTTGCCGTTGAGGAGAACAGAGGTCGCAAAGCTATTTAATCACCATCAAAGTCACACCAATCCATTATGACTATTAAACGGCCCCAACCCCGTTATGACTGTTCGACTAGCTATGTAATTACTATATTAAGTCATTATAAATTGTAATCCCTACCAACACTTAGGGTGCATCTCACTCATTTTGAGTACAATTCTCTTCTCCTCTCTGAAAGCTTGTAAGCTCTTGCTCTCCTGTTGCACCGAAGTTAATAAATTTTTGGCGACCCTTGTCATTTCAAGTGGACGTAAGTCACCTTGACCGAACCACTATAAGCTTGATCTTCTCCCTCTCAACTTTACTGCATTTTATTTTATTTAATTAACAGATGGTGTACAAACCAATTTTGTGCATCATCAAATGTAAATAATTTAGATCGTTGTAATTCTGTATTTTTTAGGATACTTGAATTGGTCGATTTTTTTTTTTTTTTTTCATTTTGCCAACCCTTATAATAGAAAACAAAACCACAGACTTTTTTTCCCAACCAAATTCACCACACATCGTTCTTTTGTAAAATAAAATCTATTTAATTCACATTCTAGCAAAAATAAAATACTTTGTCCTGTAATACACTAATAATTCATACAATTCAAAATTAGGGATGAAATATAAATAAACATTCATACATTTTAAGATGCCACTTAAATATTTTTTCATGTTAAACTTAAATTATTCGTGTTTGATAACAACTCAAATTTGTATAATATTGATATATCATAACGAAAGATGACAACTCAGATACATTATTAAAAAATAATAATAATAAATTACACCAATTGTCCCCAAGGTTCATCACTTGTTGAACTTTTGTCATCAAAATTTTAATTTTGTCAATTTAATTCCCAAAATTCACACAGTAAACCAATGCAGTCTCTCGCCCTAACTGCAAATCCAAATCAATACCGGTAAATCATCGCGTGATATGCATGTAACTGCAATTAAGGGCAATTTCTTCAGAACATAATGTAATATATACTTAATAAGATTTATATATATATATATATAGACATAATATCATATATTTAGGATAAACCAGATAAATGGCCCCTGAACTTTAGTCTTTATTTTAAATTGCTACCTCAACTTTTATTTTTTTTAATTTATCCCTGAATTATTTAATTCATTTTAATCAGCATCTTCCATTAAATTCAGTCGTTAAGTTAGGATGAAACCCTAACGTGAATTGTAAATGGAAGCTGGTGGGGATCATTTTCGGTATTTTAGGTGTTATGTACAGTGAACTTCATCTTCTTCGGTAGTCCATCACCTGAAATCGACACAAGCTATCACTGACGAAGATCATTGCTAAGATTTTAAAAAATCCACCAGAAGATTTTTGCAGAAGAAAAACACAGTAATTATAGTGATTTGATGAATCCAAATCCATTGAAATTCACTCTAAATTATAGTGAATATCAACCCACAAAAAATCTCTTTGAGTACTCTAATTGATAAAAAATTCAAGTTGTGGTGGGCAATTTAAAATAAAGACTAAAGTTTAAGTGCCATTTATGTGATTTATCTTAATATTTATATTTTTCATTCCTTCCATGTTGCTGCCTACCACTGCCATCAACAATTCTCTCACAAAGAGGTTCTCTCTCTTTGGGTTTGGATATAGAGATTGTTGGCCAGTAAGAAAATTATCCTTAATTGCAGTCATCTGTTAGACATATGATGATTTTTCGTTATTGATTTACACAGCATTTAAGACAAGGGACTGCGTTGGTCCAATGTGTGAACTTTGAGGACGAAATTAATAAAATTAAAATTTTAAATATTAAAGTTCAACAAGTAACGAACTTCAAGGACTATTGGTGTAATTTATCTAAAACAAAATAAAAATGGGACATAGTTAACCTCATGCATGATGCAACCCCACTAGTGACCATTCAAGCAGAACACTGAGAAAACTCTATGAAGAACCAACCAATGTCTTGTCCGGTCAGAATTGCTATACAATCTTCACCCACTATAAGTATCCGCCATTAATATTCTTCAAAAATTCACAGCTCCACAACTCAATTCGATTCAAGCAATAATGGAACTCACCTGGTTATACACACTCCTTTCTCTCCTCCTCCTCTTTCTAGCTTTCAAGTTCTCGTCGGAAAAACGCCGGAACCTCCCACCAAGCCCAGTACCGGCGCTTCCGGTTATAGGTCATCTCCACCTCCTGAAACAACCTCTTCACAGAACCTTCCACAAGCTTTCAGAGAAAGCTGGCCCAATCATATCTCTCCGATTCGGAACCCGATTGGTTGTTGTTGTGTCTTCGTCGGCGGCGGCAGAGGAGTGTTTCACCACGAACGACATCGTTCTCGCCAATCGCCCTCGTTTCACAAGCGGCAAGTACACAGACTACAACTACACCACCATTTCTGCATCCCCATACGGCGACCACTGGCGCAATCTCCGAAGACTCTGCACACTCGAAATTTTCTCCGCCAGCCGTCTCAACATGTCCTTATCAATTCGACAAGACGAAATCAAGCGATTACTATACTATCTAAGTCAAAATTCAGTCAATGGCGGTTTCGCGAAGGTTGATTTGAGGTCAAAATTATCGGAGATGTCATTCAATGTGATTATGAGGATGATTTCAGGAAAGCGATACTTTGGACAAGATGAGGGCAATGAGGAGGCGAAGCATTTTCGGGGCCTCGTAAGGGAGGTAGTCCGATACGGCGGTGCATCGAATCCGGGAGATTTCTTGCCGATTTTACAGTGGATTGATTACAAGGGTTTAGAGAAGAATTTAGCGAATCTTAGTGAGAAGATGGACGTGTTTTTACAGGGTCTGCTTGATGAGAATAGGCGTGATATGAATAGTAAAAACACCATGATCAGTCATTTGCTTTCTCTGCAACAATCACAACCAGAGTACTACACTGATCAAATTATCAAAGGGCTTATGATGGTATGTGTACTCCCCTAACCCTTTAGTTAAGTTGCATATCATGCACCTTCGCTCCAAATTTGATACATGTTTACGAATTTGAGTAGAGCTATTAACCTGGCGAATAAATAAGCCTATATAAGTATGGCTTTTACATAATTTATATATTGCACGAATTTGATTACTCACGATTATTCGAGAGAAATCCCATATCAAAGTCTCATAGAATTAAATTGTTTACTAGATATGTAGAAAAGATGTACTATTTTTTATTAAAGAAAATTGTTGGAGTATCTTTAATCATGACTCAAATTTAACAAATTTAAACTTAAATTTGAATAAAAATTTTGATTTTATATAGAATACTTTAATGAGCAAATTTAAATATCTACTCAAATCTTTTAAAAAAATTTTCTTATTGTCCAAAAACTTATTTTTTTGTGTTATTTAAATTATTATATTTGATAAAATAAATGAAACTTTCATATCTCTTTACAAATGAGTAATTCAAAAAAAATGAATATATATACAACACTACATGGGGATAAAGAAATCACCCCAAAAATTTAAAATTATTCTAATCCCTTATCATTTTTTTATAAAATCATATAAAGAAAAAAAAAAGAAAAAAATATAACTATTTTGACATGATCTAGTTTGAAGAACATAAAAACATACGTTTTAAACAAAAATGGAAGATTGAATAAATAAAATGATGAATTTTCTAAATTTGTGCGTAGTAAAGGTTTAAAATTTCAGGAAGAATCGATGGCCTAAAATTGTATTACTGATAGTGTTTAGTTCGAAAAAATCAAAGAAAAATTTGATGGGTAGGCATAGAATTTATATAGTATGAAAGATGAGTGAGATTAAGGTTTTGAAAAAAAAAATCAAGAAAGATGGACGATAAAAAAAAAAAAAAAACTTATCTACAGGCCTTCAAATGATTTGTAAAAATTTCGGTGGTGGTCGGCGAAACAACGTAATAGAGAGAGGCAAAAAGAGACCTCTAGAAAAAAAAATCGAAGAAGTCTTTTAGTTTTGGATATGTTAAAAAGTTACCATTAAAAATTTGGTATAAAATTTGAGTCTGTTTCAATTTGGGTCTAGTATAAATTTTGCCTTAATTTGGTATAGGTTTGAATCTAAGGTTGGAGAAGTTTTTTAGGTCATTTTGATTCAAATTTAAATTAAAGCCTACATTTGAGTCGAAAATGGAGATGCTCTTGGACAAGAATAGTTATGTTTCACCCCCATCTCTCTAACAATTTAAAATTTTTGAATAAATTGTAGTTTAAATGTTACTGGACTTTCTCCACAACCTTTTCTTATAAATGATTTAAGTAAGGTTGTCAACAGATTGGATCTTGATCTATTTAGATTCGAATTTGATAAAAAATCTGAGTTCTGAATTCAATCCGTTATTCGATGTATTTTAAAATATTAATTCATATTAGCATCCGTTAATAATCAGATATCCAATCCGATTTGAAAATTTAAATTCCAACAAAATTTCATAATAATTTAATAATTTTACCAAATTTAAGTTAACTTTAAACTTAAATATTTTCTGTTTAATTTCATTTCAATCTCATTAATAATTTAACTAAGTATGTATGTATATACAATAGTTTCTCTCAAGTAAATATGTATATATGTGCCAAATTAGATTTACATGTATCCAAATTCAAATCTGTTTAAAGAAACTTAAGTAGATTCGGATCGGATTTTGGTAAACAGATTAAAAATATTAATCCATATCCGGTTAAATGGAATGGGATTCGGATCAAATTTGGATTAAAATCTGCTCCATTGAAAAACCTAGATTCAAGATTGAATTACTATTTACACTCTCAAAGTTTATTTGGTCTCTCAATAATTACTTGCAACAATCAAATCCTTAAATTTTGCGTCTAGTTTCAATCAACTCCCTATGTCAAAATTTATCAGTAATTACAATGAAAAAACGTCACATGAGCATTACGTGCCTCAATCACATGCATAATTTTGACCAAATTAACATAAATACGAGTGAAATCTTGAAAAATAAGTGAATACATCCAATTGAAGTACTCAAATTTATATCAAAATGATTCAGCAAATGTAATTTTGATACATAAGCTCTAACCTTAGGGCCAACTTATTCAAAAGCAGTCCCATAAGTGGATCATGCTTTTTGCCTCCGTGACTCTTTTCCTTTAAAATTATTGAAGAATTTGAACTGAAGGACTTAATTGAAATAGAAGTTAAAGTTTAAGGACTTGAATGTTTTAATTCATAGTTTAGGGACCAAATAGAAATCAAGTGTAAACTTTTGAGGATATGAAATACAATTTATACTTGATTTAATCCCTAACAATAAAAAATCTAATGTCAGCTGGATAGCGAGAGTTTTTAGCATCATCCTTGATTTCAATTGTTTTCATTTTTCTCTTGATCTCACTTGATGAACTTATAATGGGATAAAACTCTTTTACAAATTTGTTTACCTATTATTGTATCTCAAATTATGTGTCAAAATCTTATACATTGAATGTTTGGTGGAAGTTTGTAGACCGCACTAATCCAATCACCCACACTTGTTTGGAGCACAAAATTTGGTAAATATAATATTGCTCCTTATATTGGGCAGATAATGCTAATTGCGGGCACAGACACATCATCTGTAACAGTAGAATGGGCAATGTCTCTTTTACTCAACCATCCTGAGATATTGAAGAAGGCCAAGGCAGAGTTAGACACTCATGTGGGATCTGATCGCTTGATCGATGAAGCAGATTTATCCAATTTGCATTACCTTCAAAACATCATATCGGAAACATTTCGATTATTCCCAGTACTACCATTATTGGTGCCACACGAATCGTCTGCTGACTGTGCAGTCGGGAGATATTACGTGCCACGCAACACGATTTTATTAGTCAATGTTTGGGCAATTCATAGGGACCCTAAGTTGTGGGATGACCCAACAAGCTTCAAACCTGAAAGGTTTGAAGGTGTGGAGGTTGAGGCACACAAACTAATGCCATTTGGATTGGGAAGGAGGTCCTGCCCAGGTGCTGGACTGGCTCAGAAAGTGGTGGGTTCGGCCTTGGGATCATTGATTCAATGCTTTGAATGGGAGAGGATTAGTGAAGAAGAGGTTGATTTAGCTGAAGGAAATGGGCTCACCATGTCAAAAGCTAAGCCATTGGTAGCCATGTGTAGAGCTCGCACCATTATGGACAAAGTTCTTGAAAAGTTACTATAGTGCAGGTATGTTCTGGTTATGCCTGCATTAAGGTTTAAAATATATCAGTTAGAGACAAGTTCATCTTCTAGTTTGAATGATGGACTATCCTGATGAGAGAATCACGAGTAATATATTCAATATGACACCACTTATGGTGTCACTCGTGAACTACAATTAAGCCGTAGTGATTATATTATGTAGTCGGTCGTAATTAATGTTGTATACATAATTGAGACATTTTTTTTATCAGGAACACTTTTTTTTTCTACTTGCATTTATCTGCTATTATTCTAACTTTTGTTCTTTGATAACTGATTGCCATTGACAGCAACTACGTTATTATAAAATGCCGACTGTTTTTTGGAAAATGAGGTGGCAACTGAAGGTGGTAATATTCAATTTCATGGCCATGTCATGTCAGGATTGAGTACAGATAGAAGATAGAATGGATTCATATCCGACACTTACTACCAAACAACGGGTAAAATTACTACAACAAAGACATCTCACGAATAACGCAACAATTACATCGTATTAGACGGAAAAAAATGATAAAAAAAAATCCATTAAGAGAAAACAATAATGCTATATTGACTAAATTTTGAGATCAAATTTAGAGCTCAAATAACATGACAGTTGACTTGGCCTTCTTTATTTGGTCTGCAATGTCATTTGATCCCAAAATTTGGTCGGTATAATATTACTGAAGAGAAAAACATAGAATAAACCAAAAATATAATAATGACGCCATCTAGATTCTCTACTACAAGGATTGAAGTTTTTTATTTCTTATTTGATTGAACAGAATTCTTAGGCCATCTTTGGTTCGGATACAAACAAAAGATGGAATTGAGTAATTGATTTTCATTCAATTCATGCAACTAAAGTTAATAAGAGTACTATTTCATTGATCTTTTGTGACACAAATTTAGATTAAGGTTGGAATAAGGTTTAAATCTATAACTATAATTTATGTTTGGATTAGATAATAGTTTAGGGTCTTAAATTGAAAATGACAAAACAGTGGTCCATGAATAGATCGCTAATTGTGTTGCAATAGCTCTCTTGACTCAATCTCTTCCTAGGTCCATGAATATTTTTACTAGGGTATTCCCGTGCAAAGCAAAGTGTTTTTTTTTTTGTTTTTTTTGACAGTAGTTCAAATGTTTATTGTAGTTAAAATATTTATCATAGGTAAAACATTTACTAAGATTAGAAGATAAATATAATTAAAATATTTTACTGTTTTTAACGGGTTAAATATAAATACATTAGTACCTTTTTTCTATAAGGAAAAGGAATACTTAAAAATATGACCAGGTATACTGATGACAAAAACAACAGAAGCGCTAGGAATTAACGGAATCAAAACGAGAGGCGTGTACCCAAACCTCCTAAAATCTAATTTGGCTGCCATGTTGTACATTCAATTTAAAATCAACTCATGTTCAAAAAAAAATTTTAAAATCAATTGACCGACGAAGAGATACACAAAAAGAGATACACCAATGAGTCACACTAAAGAGTTAAACCACCAAGTGAGACCAAAGAGACACACCTAAGACTTGCACTAAAGAGACGCACCAAAGAGACACACCAAAGAGTTACAACAAAATACACAAAGAGATACACCAAAAAAAATATACCAAAGGGATACACCATCTTCATATTCTCCCTTAATTTTTTCCTTTCATTGAAATCTTCTATAGTCCAAGATTTGTGCTGGTTTAAGAACATTTTTACCGTCGAAGTTGAAACAATGTAGTTGGAGTGACGCTTCGGACTAGAA